CGTTGGGGAATTCAGCGCCTTGTTCCGGCACCCAGTCGGAAATTCCGGCAAGCGGAGTCTGAATCCCACATGAGGCAAACCCCAGCTCAGGCCAAAATGGAACAACTGGAGCAGAGCCACCGATCTTGCTGAGTTGACAGAGGCACTGTCAGCAGGAAGCGTTGGAAGGCTGGGCTCCGACAAAGTCCAAAAGTCTCAATCTAAAAGTCGGAGATACAGAGCTGCGCCCGTGAACCCTGGCCTTTGGGGAAACAAACAGATACAGTAGAGCTGCGCCCGTGAACCCTGGCCTTTTTACTGGCCTATAGCATCAAACATTTTCACGCTTTGCCAACTTCTGTCTCCGCAAACGTAACAGGTTTTGCGGCTCCCGGTTGGCCGCTACAACATGTTGCTTTCGGCTGCGCTTCATCTGTGGGGCAAGGGGCAACCCACAAAGCGCGAGTAGGCTTGTAGCGATTGCACTTTCACTGTGGATGCCAGCAAGGCTGTTCAGACCTGGGTCTCACACTTTTATTCCACGCCCTCAGCGTCACCCGCTCTCCTTGAGATCTTCTCTATTGCTCCTCATACTGTCACTCACTAGCGTAACTTGAGCCAAAACACAACAGGATCAACCGTGTTTCCAGGCGACCATTCGCACTGTACGTCAAGGGGCTATTCCGGCACACCAGATGCGGAGCAACATCGCTTGTGCTCAGAACTTTGCTGTGAACTCAGGTGACCAATGACAAGCAGTTGCTGCTTACAGCCAACTCCGGACACACGAAGGAGCCAGCGGGCATACAAGAACACCGTCCGTGAGCTAGCGGGCCCCAACTACTCACGCTAGCGGCCCCCAACGAGCTACTCGCCTTCAACCACGCACATTCCGCACCCCCCTCCCCCCTCCCCCTCAACACCGCCTCTGCCCCCCCACCATGTTCGATGCCCAGTGGCTCTGCCCAACTAGCAGCCCAGTTCCCACTCCCCCGTACGCAGGCCAGCTCGCTCCGGCCGCCTCGCCAATCACTTGTGCCCAGGCTGCTCAGCCCAGGCCCCTTGTGCCCCGCATCATTTGCTCCAGCCCGCATTTGTTCCTCTGGTTCTTTTGGGCCTGGCCGAGGACTGCACGCGCAGCGATTGCAGCGAGAAGAAATAGAAACACGTGTATGTCCGCCGACAAAGCCAAAGTCACGAAGTCGTTCGCACAAGCTGTGCAAAACACCAATCACAATCTATGGACGAGACTCAATGAGCCCTCCTCTACACGTCGCTGAATCTGCCGAGTCAAGTCGGGCACGAACACCTTGTAGACATATCCTTGCTTGCAGCAAGCGCAAAGCCTAGTTGCTGCAGAAAGGACTCCGCGAAAAGATTCAGAAAACCTGGCGAAAAAGGGCTCTCTCCAAATCCGGCGCAGCTCCACACCCACTTCTGGGGCCGGGGCTGGCCTTGTACCCTTGAAACTCGTACTGGAAAAAAATCGCACCCTGCGTCATTTGGCTATGGGTCACAAAATAGGTACCCAAAACGGCTTGCCCTGGCGAATGGAAAAGAAACACGGACTAAAACCTGCCGGTTTCCTGGTTCCACCCATTTCCCCCATTTCCCCCATTTAACACGAGGCGTCACGAGCGCCAAAGGGCCCAGAAGGTCGGGGTTGCCGCCGTTGAGCACCACCACGCTGGCCTCCGCCAGCTGGCGCATGAGCCTCCAAGCCCGCGGATCCCAACGAGGATTCGGTTGGTATCGACAAAGGCGAGGAGACCTCTTTGGAAGCCAAAAAAAAACCGAGGGAAACCACGTTTGGTATCCAAAAAAGGCAACGAGAAAACCGGTTGGTGTCCCTAGGCTGAAAAGGCTCGACCGACTCGAAGTACAGGCGCCAGGTGCTGACTGGCTTGGGCGCGCGCGTTTGGAGGCACTCATGGCCCTTCGGCACCGAGCCGTTCAACGCCTCACGGCAGATTCTTTCTGTGACTTTGGGCCTGTTAACTTGCTGCTCAGGGAATGACAACGAGTGCAAGTGTTGGGAATGAACCGAGAGGATTCCCGAATCAAGGAAAGCAAATCGGAAATTGGATGGTTTACTGGGGTCATTCCATGTCTCATTCCCTGCTGAGCACTAGCAAGTTAAGGTACCCCCCCAAAAAAGGGGAAAGAAAGAGGGCACCCACGAAAAGGACAGATCCACCGCGCTTGAGACCTGATTCCATGGATGTTCAGCCAAGCGGCCTGAGGCGCGATGCCCTGTGCTTGCAAACGCAGCAGCGCCTGCAAATTAAAAAGAAAAATAGAAAAGAAGAAACAAAACTGGTAAACTCTTACCAAAGCACGATGCCTTTCAATGTTGATAGTTCTTCTTTGGCGCGCCTGGCCTTCTTCTGCTCTTGAGTTGCACACGAATCAAAAGCCGATACCTTGGATCGGCACTGTCAGCCGCAGATACATCCACCACATCTGGGGGTTGATCAATATTCCCTTTGGCCCCTCGTATCTTTCTAGGGGTTTTCCAACCAATGGTCATCCCATGTCCATCGGACCTTTTGATCAACCCTCATGTGAGGATGGCAGATTGCCATGTCTGGCTTGGACCTCACACCGCATGTTGGTCGAAGCTGCATGCATGATGTCACTGCCAACGAGATCTCGCAACTCGTCGCTGCGGATCCTCAATGGTTGTCAAATGATGTCCATCAAAAATTGAAACTCATTCCAACTTATCAATCACTGCGGTTCATCCACGCACTGAATCAATGGCGCGCGTCCATCCAGCGTCCAAGCCGGCGAAGCCATCGGTGGCCTCTCTCACCAGCTCGACGCTGGTCCGGATGCCTCACATGAACCATTTGGCTGGTTTTCTATTTAGGGACCTTTTGGTGGGCATCATGTTAGGTTCACGGTCATGATGTTGATGGGGGACCGTTTGGTGGACAACAAAGATGATTGGATTGCTAGCCAAACAGCTTGCCTGTTCCCAACCAAAAAAGGACATCGCCATATTGACTTTTCCCCACCCAACACTTTGGGACGTGTTCCCAGCTAAAAGCCGTTTATAGCCGTAGCCATGGTTCGACTCTCGGGGGCCAAGCACGTCATCTCAACAAGCTCCCTTCCATGGCCTGCTTTGCCGTAGTTCAGCGCCTCTGGACGAGCAAAGTCTGGGCTGGAAGCATCCCAGAACGCCCTCATGAGCCAGGCCCCGTCTTCCAGGGACAGGACCTCGGGAAAGCCGGGCCCGGGGAAAACGCGAACAAAAGCCTCCCGCGCCTTCGGCGGCTTGCCTGGCATCCGCATCATTTCCCTGAAGGCTTCCTGAGGGCAAAAGCAGGCAGCTTTTCGGCGACCGGCACGGCTGGCGGAGGAAAGGAGGCGCCTTGGAGTCGTCTTCCAGCCCGGAGCTCGCCAACATCACCAGTGACCGGGGATTTGCATGACCTCAGAATCGCATGGACCTTCTGTTGCTGCCATCTGCATTCTTCTTCCGAGCTGCACTGAGGGGCCGAGGGTCTCCCAACTCGAACCTTCAGGCGGCACCAGAGCCGGACTTGCAAGTGGACATCTTAGCACCAATCGCAGCACTCATGGCTCCCTACATTTCCCCAAAAGGAAACTCGCTCTTGAACTTTAGCCGGTAATCCGTGGAACTGTCCAAAAGGAGATGCTGGAAAACCGCCAAAGAGGGGAAATATAGGGAACGCTGCACTTGCGTATCTGAGAAGCTCGCAAGATTTGGCCTTGGAGGCGTATAAGCCTTATAGGCGAGTTGATAGGCCTGGCAGCAAGTCCGTCAACTGACCCAGTCAACAAATGACCTCCTTTGCAGACTGCACGACTCACAAGTTGCAAGTCATTGGGGGATATACGTGGCGTGATTCTTCAAGTGCCGTTCGATCAACTGGACTTGGTTGACCTGCGTGCGTTGTGGCCTGCTGTTGTACCAGCCTTGAAGATTCGCGGCAAGTGTTCGGTGGGCAAGTCGAAAATATCGGGTCCTGAACACCGCATAGCGCGTTGACGCAAGCAAAAATCCTGCTCCAAACTTTGAAATGCCTCACCTTCCCGGGATGTCAGCCCAACCATGCTGCATTGCCCTTCATCACATGCCAACCCATCTCCTTGGCTGGGGCAAGGAGCCGGCTAACATGCTGCCCCCGCTTTTTGGCGCCAACGAGTGGCCATTCTTCAGCAAAACCACCGTTTGCCTCTTTGCTTCCGCAAGCACCCTGGCAGGGATGTTCCAAACCAGATTCCTCAGCTGCCCATGCCATATGATGTTGCCTGCCCCAATGCCTGAAAGCCTAAAGCCTAAAGCCTGGGCGCTTTTTGACATCCAAGATGCCCGTAGTGGGGTCGTATAGCACATTGGCCCGCCAGGGACAGGCCAGATGTGTCGCGGAGTAAAACCTGTGCCTCCGGCTTCGGCTTGACAAACGTGGCCACGGAAAATCCCGTACCCCCAGTGAACATCCCAATCGCCACTAAAATAGGTTCTAAAATGGGTGGTGCACCTACCCCAAAATGGTGCCATTGGTTTTGACCCACAGCCATGTCCAAATCAGCACAGGACACAGCGAAGCCAAAGTGCTAACAGTGGATTGGGCTCATAGGTGTAGGCAAAGTCTCGCGAAGCAGCCATTGACCCTGCACTCCTCTGCTGGCAAACATGTAGCGAGGAACAGATGCATGCACCGACACAACGAAGAATGCATTGTTTTGTATCATCCCCCCCATCCATTATTTAAAAGAATCTCACACAAGAAGCAGAGCAAACAACAAGGGACAAAATCATGCGACGGTCCCGCCCACGTAGATCAGGTTTCCAGCACGCACACGATGCGCAATCATCTTGCCCAGCTGGGGCGCGAATTCCATCAAGGCAAAGCCTTAAAACGACGCTTGCCGGTGGCAACTCTGTCCATCAAAACTCAACCAAAAGCAGCGAAAGAAGAACACGGCCAAGCTGCCGATCATGTCTGGGTTTCCGCCGTTGAAGAAGATCACGCTAGCCTGCAAGCTGAAGCTACCTGTCTGTTTCCGCCAGCTTCACAGGTACGCTTGTGAAGGTCAGATTCGGAGTCTTGCTATGCTTGACCGCTATTGCTACCGCTCTATTCTGTCTTGCTTGAAAAACACCTTCTCGGAAACTGCTTGCCGCCTTACTGTGCTGCCTTGGCTCGAGGAATGATTGTTCAGCGAGGTATCCCAAACTGATCTTCGCCGCCATGAGTCGCTCAACACTTTTACCGGTGTTTGCCAAGTAAGCTGGACAAAGGTACCACCCTCCCAAATGCACATCTAGCCCGACGCTCGGGGGCCTGGAAGACCGATTCATGTTCCTTTTTAGAGGGACCCTCAGCTTCGGAGCTGTGCTCTCCAGGCGAAACCCGAGCCACACGCTCACACCGCTTCACGCTCCAGTCCCTCACGATAGGATCAACTGGTTTGCCATCGAAGCGATGCAACTTCTGATTCATCGAAAATGGTTTCGAGGCTCAGCCCATGTATGTGGGTGTGCTTCCTTTTGGGGGGAACTCCCAAAATGATGTTCCTTTTGGCGTCCCTCTAAAAAGGATTCTCTCGTTGAAAAGAGACAGCACGTGGCGTTTGCAGACCAGGACATGCAAAGCGCAGTCTTCACAGCCATCCCCAGCAGCATGCCGGCCGACGCCTCGTTCAGCATAGCTTTAAACCTTGCATGATTGCATTGTGTGTGTGCAGGTCAAGTGAATGATCAGCCGTCAAAAACTATGCTCGCAAAGCCCGCGTACATAGCAAAAATTGGAGTCTCACACTCGTTGCATCACAGGGGCTGCTCAATGCACGGATTGGCATCATCCACGGGACCCATGGGTGTGGAGGGCAAGACGTCCTGTGATTGGAGCTGAAATAAAGCCTGACGGGAACAGAGGTGCGCAATGCGAGGACGAAGACCAGTGCAACATAGTTCGTGGTACACTTGGGACAATCCTGATGTGAATTGCTTGACATTGCCGGCCTTGGTTTGGTCATGGTTCGCACAGAGGTCAAAGATCGAAACGTGGGTGAAAGCTTCCCTCTTGAACATCTCTCCTTGCCGCCAGCCGTCACAGATTCTAAATCGAGGAATCGCAGGAGCGGCGATTCCACGCTTCAAGCACATTGCTCAGGCCAAAGCCAAGTCCAACCACGGTGTTGTCATACGACCTCAGGTGACACTTCACACGAACTTCATTCACCCTAGACTCTGTCCACAAGCTTGCAATGGATGAAGGCGAGAATTGCACCTGCGTGTCTAGCTCCAAGCAGAACATGTGCAAGCCTCGTTCCCATGCTGCCAAGCGGCCAGCCACCGTCCAACCCCTTGAAGCCCCTAGTCCACTCTTGCACCAGCGTCGCGTTGGTTCTGAAGCCTCCAGGGGCATCATCTGCAAAGTGTTTGACACATTCGACGCGTCCGGGAAAGTTTCGAGGCCTGATCGGCTCCTCATCTTCTCATAGTTGAGGCCTGTTGGCTGGTGAAAGTTCCTCAGCTGGGCTTCGGCCAAAAGTGAGTCACCGGGCGGTTCTCGGATCTGCGAAATGTATAACTTTGCGTCAAATGAAAACCTTACACCAGCTAAAACGATCTAAAAACCCTAAGGAACCGGAACTCTAAAAGTTCCCACCAAGGTCGCAGGTGTTCCAATCTCCACATACCAAAAACCTGAGACTTCACAAAAGTCCCATCTCACATCGCGGAGCGGGCGAGGCTCTCCGAGGAGTTGTTCCAAAAGGAGCTCTTCAGGAAGCCAGCGTCTTCCAGCAGCAAGACCTCCGGATTAGACGTTTTTGGGTCAACTGCAAAGTTGGGTCTTTTATAAGTTGGGCTTTGGATTGGTGGCTTTTGTTGCTGGGCTTTGGCTGGCTAGGACCTGATGAGCCGCACTGGACTTTTGAGAGACCCCGCAGTGAGGCTCACTGCATGTTTTGAGAGACCCCCCTTGCAGTGAAATGGGTGTGGCTCAAAATTATACAGGGGCAAACCGCAGGTTTTGGTACCCATGTTTCCACTTCCCAGGGCAAGCCACTATGGAATTCCGGTTTTTTGAGCCAGCGCGGTTTATACAAACCCTAGAGAACGGCCAAAAAAAGAAGACTAAGCCCATCTGAGCTAAAAACGTCAAAAAATCATAAGACCCTAGAGAACAGCAAAAGGAAAACGCCACCTGCTCGCTTCCTAAACCCAGCCGCATCTCTCAGGCCTTGAGGCTGGCAGGATCCGCGGGCAGCTTCCTGGAGCTTTGGGGACAAGCTGAGGCCTGGCGCTGGCCTCCGAATCCGGACGTAAGGAAGGCAGAAACGAGGCCTTGAGGTCCCCAAAAAAGGTGCGGATGTACTTCGGGATCTGTTTTAGTTGTTTTGTTGTTTTTTGGCGGGGGGAAAAGGGGGGGGTGGTTTTCGTGGTTCGTCCGGGCCAAAAAAACTTAAGAAACAAAAACAACTGAAGGCCTGGGTGGCACTGACTCCGATGACTCGCAGTCCTCATCATCTCTTCAA